TATATATATATATATATATAGGTGACAATTCTATAATATAATTTACAAATTGCTTTAGATATTTTTATTACCATTTTTTTCTCTAACTTGTATAAAAAAAATTTAAAAATAGAAAGTATCTGTTGGGCCCACTTAGGCCCGGGACCGGCTCACTTAACCCGGGACCGTTAGTTCGTGGTTTCGGTCCCGGGTCGGTTCCAACAAGAAGCCCGCGAAGTTCGGAACCGCTTAGGACCGGCCCGCCTAGGACCGACCCACTTAGGACCGGGCCCGCGAAGCCCACTTAGGATCGGGCCCGGCCCACATGCCATCCCTAATGTCATAGCATAATTATTTACTCCCTCCGGTCCACAATAAGTGATTTTTTGGCCCTTTTTTCGTGGTCCAAAATATCTGATTTTTCTAGATTTCAAGAATGAATTAATTATTTTTTTCTACATTGCCCTTCGAGTAAATAGTGTTGGAGTATGTGTTAGGAGTATTTATGTGAAGAGATAGTAAAGGTTAATATGATCAGTTTCATTACTAATTAATGTTAAAAGGTAAAATTTTTAATCTGTGTGAAAACAACCCAAAAATCATTTATTGTGGACAGGAGGGATCAGAGTACCATTTATTTATTCTAGGTTATCACACTATAAATATCACAGAAAAAAACTTAAAATCTTACAAAGACAGCGCTTTAATGCAGTTAACTTCACCAAGAAGTGATTATTAAAACTAAAAGTAGAGGAACGTGGGCATTGCGTCGGATTCACGTAGCAGTAGTACTAGTATTCGCTACTAGAGAAGACTTGTGATTCTATTAGTTTGATAGAGGAATTTTATTCTTCTTTTCTTTCTTTAAACACTTGGGTGGGATTTTAATGAAAGCTGATGCATGACACTATGATTCTCTTGCTTCTTCTCCCTTCAGCTGCTGCTTCTGATATATGCTACTGCTAGATTGTATGTGAACTAAGCACACCCCCACCGTATCACATGAGCATCATATTCATATTCCTATATAAATATTTTCTTTCTTTATTTTCATTAAACAAATTTATCTTAGAACTAATTTCATTTGTTCCTACTTTTTAAGAAAATAGTACAAACTTCAGAAATTTATGGGGCTAGTTTCTTGATAAAAATTGGATATTTTTGTCTTTACATTAAGTGTACATGAATGTGAAGAGGATTTTGAGGGTAGTGAAGTGATGAACTCTGACGTTGTTTTGTACCAACATACACTTGTTTCATATAAAGTACTTGTATGAATAAAGAGGGAAAGATTCCGGAGGAATTAATTCTGATACTTTTTCAGGGGTATAAATTTGTAGGCAGACTTGTGAAAAGAATAATTTGTATTGCTTTACTCTCCTTGCTTAAAGGCATACCAGAAGATAGCGCGGGGCTGCAGCGGACTTACTGCCGTACCTAAGGTATGCTAAGATTTCTGTCTGTTTTGATGATCAAATAGTCTACGTAACTTCGTAAGGTAAGGGTAAGGTTCGCGTACACTCTACGTTTTTCGGATCCAATTTTGTGGAATGTTACGGGGTATGTTGTTGTTGTATAGCGTCTGAAATAACATCTCTAGATTCGTTTAGCAGTTTGTTCTTAATGCTTTTGAATGTTCTTATAAGTGCTCTTACCACTTTTTAATATGATGGTTCCTCTGTTTTTATACAAGCATAGTGCTTTTCGCTATATAGTCAAATGGAGAACTTTGCGATTAGCTATTGAATGTGGTCATCTTCTATCTGTAAAATACAATAAAAGGGGTCTATTCCCAATTATTTAGCCCCGGAGCACATGCCCCAAAAACAAAGGGGGGCAAGGTCCAAACAACCCTCCCCCCTCCAAACAGAAATTGTAAAAAGTAAAATCTTGACACAAGATAAAGGGTTTCGTTGCAAGCAGCCAAATTTTAGAGACAAAGACAATGGATAGGGTAAAGGTGGATTTGTGAGATTGTGATTGCTGAATTTTAAGTGTAGGTCAAAGTTGTTCTATTCTTTCTTACACCTGAAGTGTATATGTAATTGAAATATAACCCAAAATTGAATAACAGGAGAATTTATTATATGGAAAAGGACCAAAAATACCCTTGAACTATTTGAAATAGCTCAAAAATGCCATCCGTTTATTTTTGGTACCAAAAATATCACTGACGTCTATATTTTGGACCGCAAATGCCCTTAAACTGTTAGTCTTGCCATTGAAGGTAACATGGCAGTCCAACTGGGTTAGATTTGCCTACATAGTCATTCACCTAAGCAATCCAGCATGGCAAAATTATTTTTTTGAAAAAATTATTTTTCTGGAATTTTTTTAAAAATACAAAATCAACACTTATTCCGAAAAAAGTAAAAAAAAAAGTAGAAAAAATTATTTATTTCGAATTTTTTTATTAAAATACAAAATCAACACTTATTCCGAAAAAAGTAAAAAAAATTCGAAAAAATTATTTTTTTCGGAAATTTTTATTAAAATACAAAATCAAGACTTATTCCGAAAAAAGTAAAAAAATTATTTATTTCGGAAATATTTATTAAAATACAAAATCAACACTTATTCCGAAAAAAGTATTATAACATAATTTTTCCTGAATTTTTTTACTTTTTTCGGCATAAGTGTTGATTTTGTATTTTTTTATAAAATTCCGAAAAAATAATTTTTCCAAAAAAATAATTTTGCCATGTTGCATTGCTTAGGTGGATGACCATGTAAGCAAATCTAACCCAGTTGGACTGCCATATCACCTTCAATGGCAAGACTAACGGTTTAACGGTATTTGTGGTCCAAAATATAGACGGCAGAGATATTTTTGGTACCAAAAACAAACGGAGGGTATTTTTGAGCTATTTCAAATAGTTCAAGGGCATTTTTGGTCCTTTTCCGTTTAATAGATCATCTTGTCGCTTGGCGACTGTTTCTAGCTGTATTATATTCGGCCAGTGGCGGAGCCACCTTAAGCTAAGGTGTGTCAACTGATACCCCTTCACCGAAAAATTACATTTAATAGCTAAGTCAAAAATTTATTTTATGTATATATACTATATATTGACTCTCCTTAGCTTTTTTATATGTTTACTTCTTTATATTTTGACAACCTTTAGTAAAATTCCTGACTCTGCCACTACATTCGACTATAGATGAATGTTCATGGTTATAACTTGTAAGGCCAATTTTGACTAAACAGACCATACTACTCCTAAAGGTGTCACAAGAATTAATGAGAGATAATCTTGTGTAAGATTTCATGACACCCCCTCCACCCATACCTTTCTATCTTCGGCAAAGGGCCAAATATACCCATCTACTTTCGAAAATAGTTTAAGAATACCCTTCGCTATACTATTGGGTTATCTATACCTCTGCAGTCATACTTTGGGTTCAAGTATACCCCTTATTTAAATAGAGGGACACATGTCATCGTCCTGTTGGTTAATTCTACATATCTCCTAATTAATTAAAAAGACTCATTACCCATACCCGAAAAATATTTTTTTTTTGTAGAAACTGGAAAAAACTAAATTATTTTTTTACTAAAAACTGAAAAAAACGAAAATATTTTTTTTTCCAGTTTTTACAAAAAAAACTGCTTTAAAACAACTGAAACATTTTTAACTAAAAACTGAAAAAAAAAACTGAAATAGTTTTAACTAAAAACTGGAAAAACAATATATTTATTTTTTCAGTTTTTACAAAAATATTATTTTAGAAAATATTTTTCAGCTTTTTTTAAAATGTAAAAACTGGGAAAAACAATATTTTCGTTTTTTCACTTTTTAGTAAAAAATATTTCAGTTTTTTTCAGTTTTTACAAAAAAAAAAATTGCTTTAAAAAATTAATTTTCAGCTTTTGTTTTTCCAGTTTTTACAAAAATATTGTTTTAGAAAATATTTTTTAGTTTTTTCTAAAGATGGAAAAAAATTATTTTTGCTTTTTTCAGTTTTTAGTAAAAATAATTTCAGTTTTTTCCAGTTTTTACAAAAAAAAAATTACTTTAAAAAATTATTTTTCGGGTATGGATAATGGATCTTTTTAATTAATTAGGAGATATTTAGAATTGACCAACAGGACGATGACACGTGTCCCTCCGTTTAAATGAGGGGTATATTTGAACCCAAAGTATGATTGCAGGATATAGATAACTCAATAATATAATGGGGTATTCTTAGATCATTTTCAAAAGTAGAGGGATATATTTGGCCTTTTTCCGTTCTATCTTCTAAACCCTTTAATTTGCCTACTTATATACTTTACATGGTCTCGTCTTAAGTAAAAATAACGTCTTATTGGCCCCTTTCGTCAATACTCCAAATTTGAAATGGCTTCTCCCTTTTTCTGAGGTCAGAATACCAACAAGGATGCTCTCAATTTTTGGAGTAGACTTAAATGATGGAGGCAAAATCCAGGTAAGGCATATTTGGACAATTATTTCTAATGTAGTTGTGCGTTGGCTCGATAAAGCTCGTGGGCCAATAGCGCTAAAAAGAATTGACCATGTAATAATACTCCAATATAATAAATGGTTTTATTACGTAGACAATGACCCTTTATAGCAGCCTCGAAACCGCAAAATGGAAGAGGAGTCATTAGTCAATGTTAATTTTGGAGATGGCTACTAAAAAATAGAAGGAAAAAAAATTCTTAACTAATCTTTGGCTGTTGCAACTTGGGTTTGATATAGACGTGTCAATAAAGTGGTGAAAACTACGGTTACAAGGTTTAAATCAAAGTAAGACAAATACAAGAGGTGATTTTTTCTATTTGTCTAACCTTGGCAGCATAGTTAATTAGTATATCCTGAAATAGTTGAAGTATGTACAAAACTGACTGGACCACTGCTATTTTAAAAAATGCTGACAGAATGCAATACATACGTATGACCTAATTAACAAATTTTACCGAATACTTGTAGGATGAAGATCTTGAAATATTTTATTAGCTTATCACGCGTTGGCTTTGCAATAATCTAGCTGTCATCAGCCATGAAAAAGGGTGTTTTTGTTAAGCAAAAAAATGTCAAGATATGTATATGTGAATTCGGGATTAACGGATAAGAAGGGGTACGTGCTGATGACATGATTGTTTTGAAATTAAGATGTCAGTGCCTTCCACATGGGAAAATAAGCCAAGTCATAAAATATCTACGGCGATCTTATTAGGAAACTTCTTCATAAACTCAAGTATAAATACTTTTGTTGCTTCATTCTCAAATTACATTACCAAGAGTTTGACCAGATTTGTTCTTGTCTTGTTTCAGATTGTAACTTTCTGGGATCAACCTTATTTAGGAAGCTATTTGAAGAATCATGAACGCTTTAGCAGCAACCAATAGAAACTTTAAGCTAGCATCTCGTTTGCTAGGCTTGGATTCCAAGCTTGAACAGTGTCTTCTCATTCCATTTAGGGAGATTAAGGTTTGTTGTTCATTCCATTTTTGTCTTTTTGCAATTCTTTTCTTGAGTTCTTTGCTCCATTTGGGTGCTGCAATACATTTTTATTTTGGGTGCCAAGATTTTGATGACATCCGACATGCCACTTTGATCATTATGCACCTCCTATGATCTAGGCATCTAGCCATTCTAGGAACTGGCCAGATTGCATTTTGCGCTGATCTTGGACATTGTACATAACATTCTGAGTTTGACTTAAATTTCTACTTTTCTACTAGACTTTTACACGTGAGACAATTTTTTATAATATGGTCTTCGAGCAGTTACGTGCACTTCGATTGTTATCCTGTGTTAGTGGAAGTACCGAGTGACTCTGTCCATCACAGCATAGCCCAAATAAATCACCTCTATCTTTTTGTCTTTGATGAGAGTTGGACCCTAGTCTCTCATAGTTTAGTCTTTCAGACCATTTCATTGACTGCTAGATCACACATTTGGGTGCTGGACTGTTTTGTCAACCCTTTGTTTTTTGCACTATTGTGCTTGTATATGCAGTTTCTTTTTCATTTTTCTGTAGGCCGTGCTTATTGACTGATATTGCAGGTTGAGTGTACAATACCAAAGGACGATGGCTCATTGGCAACTTTTATTGGATTCAGGGTACAACACGACAATGCTCGAGGCCCCATGAAAGGAGGAATCAGATACCATCCTGAGGTTAGTTGTTTAACTTCACTGAATTACACAGAATGGCAAGATTGATCGAGTTTCTTTAATTCAAGATCATGTTTTTGATTAATGTAACAATGTCTGATACTGATTCAAATGGTTATGAGTAATGTAGGTAGATCCGGATGAGGTGAATGCCTTAGCACAGCTAATGACATGGAAGACAGCAGTTGCCAATATACCATATGGAGGGGCTAAAGGAGGAATAGGGTGTAGTCCCAGTGACTTAAGCATCTCTGAGCTAGAGCGACTTACTCGAGTATTTACTCAAAAGATACATGACCTTATTGGAATTCATACAGATGTTCCAGCACCTGACATGGGAACAAATCCACAGGTATATATATGTCTCAGGCATAGCATTTTATCGGACAGGAGAAAGTGTCATTTCCCCTTAACCTTTTGGCATGCTACGGATGGATCTAACTGAAGTGTTGCTTTACGCAGACAATGGCGTGGATTCTAGATGAGTACTCAAAGTTTCATGGCTATTCACCTGCAGTGGTAACTGGAAAACCTATTGTGAGTATGAATAACATTCTGATTTCTGATTGACGATCCTGTACACTCCATAGTTCATTTTACACGATCCGAGTAGTGTAAATAAACTTTCAGTTGATGATAACCTATTCTCATTGTCTGTATTTTCTAGCTTGACTCACAACTATACAACCTTTGTATTGGTTTAACTTGAGAAATTCAATATTTTGACAACAGGATCTTGGTGGATCTCTAGGCAGAGATGCAGCTACTGGTAGGGGTGTTCTTTTTGCTGCTGAAGCACTGCTTAGAGACCATGGAAAGAGCATTGCTGGGCAGCGTTTTGTTGTTCAGGTTAGTGTCCTTATTTCAACTAACAATTATGGAGAAACTTAATCTCGAAAACAAAAATGAACAGAATTAATTCCACACTAGCTGATTGGTTGGTAAGGAAAGATACAAAAGGATACAGAAAGTACTTTTTGTTGGATAGGTCTGGAATTTGATACGATTTCTTTCATTTCAGGGATTTGGAAATGTTGGTTCTTGGGCTGCACAACTCATTACTGAGCAAGGTGGGAAGATTGTTGCAGTAAGTGACATAACAGGTGCCATAAAGAACAAAAATGGAATCGACATAGCAAGTCTACTCAAACATGTGAAAGAAAATCGCGGAGTTAAAGGTTTCCATGGCGCGGATTCAATAGATCCTAATTCTATACTGGTAGAAGACTGCGATGTTCTTATACCAGCTGCCCTTGGCGGAGTAATTAACAGGTTCTTCTCATGCTATTTCTATAAAACTAGTTATTACCAAGCTCTTGTCATTTTAGATTTGTGATACATTTAAATATCTTTAAAGGGATAATGCAAAAGATATTAAAGCCAAATTCATTGTTGAGGCTGCTAACCATCCAACTGATCCAGAAGCTGACGAGGTCAGTGTTTTAGTTCAGTTATTATATATGAAACACAGGACAAGAGAACAACAAAAATTAAACTAATTTTGTTCATGCAGATTTTGGCAAAGAAAGGAGTTGTCATTCTGCCAGACATATATGCAAACTCAGGAGGTGTTACTGTCAGCTATTTTGAATGGGTTCAGGTATCAATTTGACCTTCATATCTTCTCATACTCCAGCCAAACTGTGGTGTCAATAACTCTTGATATCTAGTAGTTCTGTTAACGTAGCATATTAACTTTTGGATGATTTTGTAATGCTAGAACATCCAAGGTTTTATGTGGGATGAGGAGAGAGTGAACACTGAGCTAAAGGCATACATGAACAGAGGTTTTAAAGATGTCAAGGATATGTGCAAGACTCACAACTGCGATCTACGAATGGGTGCCTTCACCCTAGGCGTCAACCGTGTTGCCAGAGCAACAACACTAAGGGGATGGGAAGCCTAAGAATGAGGCGACGATTGCTTCTTCTTCAAATAAACATATACTCTAAACCATATAGTTCATATACTTCTGCATATTCATTTCTGCACTTCTGCAAAATTTGACAAAAATTTAGCCATTTCAATAGTTTTGCTTGACCTTTTAAAAGAAAAATAAATGTTGTACACCGTCATTCTTATGAGTACAAGATGGCTTGAAATCACTGGAAGGGGCCAATTTGCTTGGTCTTATTCTTTATTATTAATCAAACAAAGTTTTATAATTGTCTTTGATCTTATTGTTTTCCTAAGAACGAACCAGAAATATTTACAAGCTTTTGTAGATATCTTAAATGAGGGAACTACACAAAATACCTACTTGGGCCTATTATATTACCCGTTTCTACCCATCTTTAAAAATAATTACATAAAATACTTATACGACCAAAATAAATTACCCGCCCACCCAAACCCCACTTAAGCCGCGAGATCCATTTGTTGAGATTCTTCTGTTTTGGTAATCATTACATGTAAGCACGAGATATGAATTTAGCAAACTTCTTCTTCTTTATGGCAGATTATATTCACCTATAGATCGTACGACAATTGACCTCTATTTTAGCATTGATGAGTTTTTCTTACAAATAAATAATATTCAATTAACATACAAATCTCTCAAATAGGATTTTCTCTTTTATCGTCTTCTCAAATATAAATAAACGTTTTTCTTCTATCTTTCTCATTTCATAATAGGATCTATGTGTCCATTGAATGTTTTTTATTAATTTATGCTCCATTTCAAAATGGTATATAGTATATTAGTATAACATATCTAAATTTTAGTATAATCAATGACGCACAAAATTGAGTTAATTAGATTATGTGACAACTGATATTAATTCAGTTTAATAATTGAAATAAAAAAACTTTTTTTAAACTCTTTGCGTACAACTGTATACCCTGTTGGTATATCTATATACTATACTGGTATCATATGTTAGTTGGAACCTTTTTTGGATGTATTAGTTACATTTAATTAGTACATTGTTTGATTTTTCTTTAGTAATAGTAAAATAGTACAATATATTGATTTTTTTAAAATTTTCCTTTATGCAATATGTATTATGTAATCATTTTGATTTTTTCTTTATGTGTTTGTTTTATATAATAGTATTATAGTACAATATCTTGAAATATATTATTATATTAATATGTGGTACACTATTTTTTGATTTCTCTTTATGCATGTGTATTATGTAATAGTAGTATAGTCATATATAGTTGCTTGGAATTAATTGGTAGAATTGTATACCCTATTGGTATAATTATATGTCATAGTGGTATCATATGGTAGTTGGAATATTTTTTGATTGTTTTGGCTGCATTTTTAAGTGAATTCTATTCTGAAATGGTTTATATGATAATGTTTTGTTGTGTTGGATTTTCTTGTACCTATGGACATAGATTTTGTGTATTATGTAATAGTTTTTATAGTTATATGCAGTTGTTGGAACGACCCCTTACAACTATATACCCTATTAGTATAGCTATATACTATATTGGTATCATATGCTAGTTGAATCCTTTTTTTTGGTTGTATTAGTTGCATTTAATTGGTACACTATTTGATTTTCTTTTAATAATAGTAATATAGTACAATATCTTGAAATACTTTATTATATTAATATGTGGTACACTATTTTTTATTTTCTCAATGTGTTATGTAATAGTAGTATAGTCATATAGTTGCCGAGAATTAACAAGTAAAATTGTATACCATGTTGGTATAGTTATATGCCATATTGGTATCATATAGTAGTTTGAACATTTTTTGGTTGTTTTAACTGCATTTTTAAGTGAATTCTATTCTGAAATTATTTATATGAACATGATTTGCAGTGTTGGAATTTTTTTGTGCCGATGGACATAGATTATGTGTATTATGTAATATTTTTAAAGTTATAGGCAATTGTTGGAACGGCCACATACTACTATATACCATGTTAATATACAGAATGAGCAAGTTGCTTTGCGAATATTTAACTTGCAATGTGAGCATGTAATTTTCTCATACTTTTATTGCATCCTTTAATGTTTTGGTACAGTAGTATAGTCGCAGATAGTTATAGCAATATTCTAGAGCAATCATATACTCTGTTGGTATACATGTATACCATATTGGTATCATATGGTACTAGAAATCTTTTTTGCTACTTATATTTTTGTTGCATTTTCCAATATTTTATTATCATTTTTATTCTAACTAGTATATATGGAGATTTGGCGGCCATAGATTATGTTTTCTTGCTCCATAATTGTTTGTGTTACTGCTAATAGTAGAGTGTGTACTGATCTTTATAGGGAAGGAGATCAAGGTTTGTATGGCAATCAAGTGGAATTAGAAAAGGAACAAGAAATAAAGAAGAAAAAAAAAAGGAGTCAAATTTGAGTGTAAAATAAGTTATGGTAAAAATAACAATAATACGCCCTGGGCAAAAATAAATGAATAAAAGAGAAAAAAGTAAAAAATAGGAAGAAAACGAGAAAAAAGAAAAGGAGAAAAGAAAGAAAAAAGGAAAAAAGAAAAGAAGGCATAGAAATAAGAAAGAATTGGAAAAAAAAAAGAAAAAAATTCCCCACAAAAACTACTATGGGTAGGAAATGTAATTAGTTTGATGGGTAAAAAAATAAATAGACGGGTAAGGGTAAATAGTTTTATTTTTGCGAGTAACTATGACATCCACCCATCTTAAATACTCAAAAGTTTTTGTTAAAACACTTCAATTTGCTAACGCTAATGTTAAATTTTAATTTATACTGTATGATTTCAGACAATATTTTTCATTCACCAACCAAACACTAAAAAAACCTTTTTCAAAAGGCATTTTCCATCATACTAGAGACAGTAAAAATAAAACTAATTTAAAGAAAACAGCAAAAAGAAACACTGTAAAATAGCAATCTAGGAGATCAACTAGTACCAAAATACCAACGGTAACTGGCAAAATCACCCTGTAGGAAAGAAATAGCTTTATGATACACTGGAATAGGGACGCTACTGGAATCATTATCATGCACTATGAAGTACAAATAAGCCACGGTCAAACTTCCGAGATCTATTGCAATCGTCCACATAATGAATGAGTTATGCTTCAGAAAAAGAAAAGAAAAAAACGAGTTGGGCAACCAGTCAAAGATATGTACCAAAATCAACAGCATAAAATAAACCAACTTCAAGCAAAGGATCTCAGATTACAGTAGAATGCATTTAACTAATACTGCTGTTGATCATGATGGGTGCTCAATGGGCAAAGGATACTCAACTGTTTCCAGTTCAGTGGAAATGAAAATGAGCTAATTCCACGAACAGAACTGTAGTGACATCCTCCCACCCAATTGATTCAACAAAATCCCAGCACTATATCTGAAATTGAATACAATAGTACAGTTGCTTCTAAAATCTCCCTCTACCCCTAAAACCGCCTCCACGACCACCTCTAGGAGGTCCTCTACCACCACGAGGCCCCTTCCACGGAAACCACCACCACCACCACGAAAACCGCCTCTTCCCCCACCTCTTCCTCCACCACGTCCTCCACCTCTAGAAGCTTGCTGCTGTCCCCTACAATAATAGTGAAATACATTCAGATTCAGTTCAATGTCAAACCGAAAAAACAAAATATGAAAGAAAGAGGTAGTTGTATCAACCAAACATGGTTGCAATTCAATTAGTTTACTGTCAAACATAGATTTTGTATTCTCTTAAACATTAAGGTAGAATTTGTTATCGTCATCTAAATGAACACTGTGCTCTGCAAGTTTGCTAAAGATTTCAGATTTAGTTAAATGTCAAACAGAAAAAACACAATATTGAAGAATGATGTGGCAGTATTAACTGAACATGGCTCTGAAATTCATTTAGTTCTTTGGGTAGCCGCATAGACCTTATATTTTCGAGCAACAAAGCCATAGTCCTTAATTTTCTAAGGGAGGATTTCCTCCTAATCCGAAAGAACACACCTTCTACATGTTTGCTAAAAAAGACATACATAAGCATATCCTTCCAGCTTCAGGTTAACTTCGCTCGCATTGGATTTGATTAAACTTCTCAAGGCACATATCAAATATGATGACTTTAAAACATCTTTCTAAATGATTTTGAAATTCTGAAAGTCTATCAGGCAGAGTTTGAGTTCACAACATACTAAATCATATTGCTATAACCATACTTGATTTTAATAGGCATAGTCATTTGGAACAAATAAAACATAGTCATTTGGCATAACCAGTAGTGATTTTAGTTGGCATAGTCATATGGAAGGTAGGAATATTTCTCCTATAAGAATAGGAGGAAATATTATCTTTCCTATTATTCACAAGCATTCCAAGAGCAAACAAGAAAAGCAAATAGGATATGATATGAAACATGGATTATTTCTTTGGACGGTAATTTGTGAATAGCGTAAACATGAACTGCTCCACTCAAGGTCATAAATACAACTTTTCTGTCAGTGTCATGAATCAAAATGAATTCATTACTAAACTCATGATAGATTACAGTATTAGCTTCAGCAATGACATTTTATAACAACAACAATAACAATAACAACAACAACAATAATAATAATAATAATAATAATAACAATAATAATAATAATAGAGGAATTTACAGTTAGGTGATATAACAGGCTGAAACAAGTTGATGCAAGCTTAAAAATAGTCTTAACAAAATGAATTCTCTAGAAAATACCTCCAACATAAATTAATTAGTATTGGAATGAAATGGGTCTAAATAGCATGAATGGATATAGAATTCGTATAGGCAACACCAACTAGTTTGGGATCCCCAACTCGTTTCGGATTAAGCTGTAGTAGATAGATTGGTAGATAAACTTCCTTTTAATCACAGTGCATTTTCACCTACTTCATCCTGCATCCATTAGAGCTTAAGATACTAATAGTTGGCATAATCAGTAGTGTTATTCCTAGAAGACGGCATTTCAAAAGTAAATGAATTTTTAAAAATAGCGTTAAAAGGGACAGAACTGCATTAATTTATCTTTTTTTCAGATAATGTAAAGAAATTTATTTTCATACATAAACAACAGGATGTGTGTTAATTTAAACAGCCGAAATCCAGAATAATGTGTTAAATCATATTTAAACCTTCAACTATCCAAAAACAACATGGTAAATGTCTATATGAAGTCTTAAAAGTATGAAGCAAGACGAGTAAACACATACTTGGGCTGCGGAAGAAATCTGGCAAGTGGCAAAAGCTTAGCTGGGT